GGTATACTTTTCGATTTCCCGTGTCGACTCGCCTCCACTTCTCGAGAAACCGCACACAGCGGACAGCTTCTACGACAGGCCTTTTCGACTTTCCCCTTGAAAGTCCACCAGGTTTGACAGATACGGCATCCCGTCAGCATCAAAGTCGGTTCCCCGTCGTCGAATTCTTGAAACGTCTATCAAGCCGCTGTCGCGGTCTTACCAGGAGCATGGCCTCGTCTCCCTCGCAAACGTCTGGACAAAGTGAGAGTCAACCACTGCGATATAACACACCAAGTAAACCGTATGGCTCTGGAGCCAACGCAGCCCCAGAGTCTCCGGCAGAGTCGTATCTGCATGCGCCCAGCTCCTCGCTCCCAAGACCCGACATAAGCCCTGCATCAACTCACCAAGTTCTCCACCGTCTTGGAAGCACCTTCTCACATGTACAGTATGCTGTTTGCGGCGACGCAGCGCTGATAGCATACGGCCATGGCTCTCGCTCCCCGTCCCACGTTACAATCATCTGCCCGGCCTACGCCCAAGAGGTCATGAAAGCGTGGGCGGCTGCTACCAGCGGTATGCTCAACTACCCCGGCGAACCAGACACTCTTGGCGTCTCCGATGAAGAAGGGCAGGTGTGGCCCGTTAAAATGAGGACCATGGCGTTTGAGCGTAGCTTTGAGACGCTGCCGACTGTAAGTCTCTGCTTTGGGGATGACTCCTCTCCCACAACCATCTTGACCATGCCGGCTCTTGTTAACGAGATTGCGCTTTCATACGTTGTTGACAGGCATATAGAGGAAGAAGGATTCCTGGATGAGCTTGCAGTAGACCTGATTTGGCTCTTGCAAAGTATCATTGAAGACGGAAGTCCAGAGCAAATGCTCAAGGAGCATGACGCACCCGCCATCAGCAACCCTATCTTCTGGTACGACTTTACGGATGCGTATCCCGAACTAGCTGGACTCTTCTACGATGCTGGATATCGACCTGAGGGGTCTGAGGTAGACGTGAGCCAGGTGAGTGATATGATACCGGCCGAGCTACGATCTCTACCCCTGCGAGAGATCATTACGAGAGGTAGGAGTCGCCCTGGCGGCAGGTCCGATGTCAAGCTGCGGCGCCAAGTGCTGGAGGGGCCGAACTTGACCAGGGCGGAGCTCAGGAAGGTGATTCGGGACCATCCGTCGTACAGGCGCAAGTCGTCGGGTTATGGAGATTTAGATGACCAATCGTGGACTCCTCGTTCATACAGCCGTAGGCCTTTGAGGAGACAGCAGAGCCAAGAGGTACCCTCGTCGGTGGTTCCTTTTGGAGACAAGATCTCTAACATCTTGTTCGGACGTCCAGACGGCTCTAGAGCCAGGCATTCAAAGTAATGACTGTAATTTGCTACAATGGAAAGAATGATTCTGGAATTGGATTTCCCTTTCTCCTCCGTCTTCTGTTCTGTAGCAGCAGTTTACCTTGTAATGACTGACCCATTTCTTTGTCACGTTATTTCAAAGCACCTTAGTGTTGTTCCCCGTGAGTAAATACATCACTGTTGTCGCTATTGTTTCGTTATTAAGTCACGGTTTGTGGTTGTCAAAGAATGCTTTCAAACTCAAATCGATTCTTTCGCCATCATGCTTTTGCAGAGGCGGTCTCTATGCCCCGAGGGCTTTTACAAAGAAGAAGCCAGATGTTCTGGTCTAAAGTCCCATAGTCCCCATCTAACTTGAACGCCATTATCCCTTGGCTGTGCAGACCGACCCGGTCTCTTTGCTTCATACTCGCTTGTAAAGAACCAAAAAACAAACGAAACCTGTATTCCCATGCCAATTCGCCCCGCTGGATATGCTGAATCGCTCAGAAAGTCCTCTTCAATTCAAAAGTCCACCTCTCTTCCGCCTCATTGCCTCTGCTGGTACTGGTACTGGTTGTGGTACTGGTTGTGGTATTGCTGGCTCTGCTGGTATTGTTGAGGGTGCTGCTGCTGGTATTGTTGCTGGTACTGCTGCTGGTACTGCTGAGCATAGTGTTGGCCGTAAGGAGGCGCGTCGTACTGGTTGCTCTGCTGGCTGTTGTTGAAGTGCACGGGGGCGACGGCTGGACGAGGAGCAGGGGAGGCCGTCTGGGGCTTGTTCTGCTGCTGGATCTCGATGCGCTCGGCGGACTGGCCGGCCTCGCTGTCGCTGCTGCTGCCGAGGGCGGTCTGCTTCATGGATCCGCGGCGGACGCCGTTGGCCTTGAAGTAGCGGAAGTCAAGCCAGGCGATGATGGTTGCGTAGCCGGCGACGATGCTGAGGAGGATGCCCATCACCACGACGATCCAGCCGATGGTGCAGCTGACGCCCACGCAGGATTGTTGTGTGTTGCCCTGGATGCCCATGTAGGCGACCGCGGCCCAGAAGACGACTTCCATGCCGTTGAGGATGAGGTTGGCTTTCAGGCTAGCCCATCGCTTGAAGGAGGAGACGTGCTCGGTAAGGACTTGGTATGCGATGATAATGAGAGACTTTGCGGCCTGGGGTTGAAAAGGTTTGGTTAGTTGGTTGCTTGGTTTGTGGGGTAAAAGAAGCTTAAGACTTACCATGCCGAGAGCCATGGTACCGGATCTACCCCTGGGGCGGTTGGGGAGGAAGATGCGTGCCACTGAGAGACTAAGAGCTGCGATGACCAGGGCAAGCTGGACCATATGGATGGGGAACTTGAGCTTGGAGTCGAAGAGGCCCATTGTGATTGTTTGGGAGGAGGACTGAAGTTGGTACTGGTTCGGACTGTCCTTGACGAGGAGTATTCTGAGTCAAGACCGAGAGATTGTTTGTGTGGTGGTGATGGTGATAATGATTGTGTTGGTTGTATTGTATTGTATTGTATTGGAAGGAAGACGGCAACAACATCCGGATTACAGTCAATCTATATACAAACATCTCGCATTCTGCTGCATCTCGCATTTACACGTATTGACCGTATCCTGAAAGAAATTTCGATACGCATTCCCATAGTGTCGGGCCTACCTCAACACAGCCGCACGCTGCGCATTGTGTGGGAATGCCTTCGGTCTCGGTTCATGGGTGCGGACACTTTTTTTCACTCTTTGCTGTGCAGTCAGACACCGCAGATTACACGTATTTACTTACTACTATACCTTACTATTGTCGCTGGGGAACTTGGATTGGGGGAAAAGATAAAAGTAGCACAGCCCCGGCCCCCTAGGGCGAACGGCACTTCGGTCTCGGTTTCCCACTTCTTCTCTGACAAAGCCACGAAGAAAACTGGCGCTAGAGAATCGGAGCACCAACAACCTTATGGCCTAAGCATACGCGTATCCACCCAATAAAGTTATCCATGTCTCTGCTGCTTCGAGACCTTGGGCCTTCGCCTCTTTCTTCTCCCCTCCAAGCTTCTGTCGTCTCCATAGAAGCCTCAAACCAGTGGGCTGGGCGGCTCGCGCCAAGGAGGCTTGACACTTGTCATCGCAACTCCCCGAAACACCATAAACAGGGCTCTCAGCGCCGCCGCCGCCGCCGCCGCCTCCCCCTTTCCATGCTTTGGAGTCCGGACGAGGTTCTGGTTCCCGGGTGTGGGAATCGCTGACGGGGATTACGGGCCTTCAGGCTTCGAGACGCGCTTCGGGAATCTGCCCTCTGGCGCCATTGAGAAATGCGCCTTGCCATGATGTGGAGACGGGAAAGCGAGGTGCATGGGCGCTAGCGAAATGCTTATTGCGTTCTGAGGCCGGGAGGACCTTCGGTTTCTCTAGTCTCGGCCACGTTTTTCTCGGGTTTGAGATTTCTTTCATCTTGATAATCAGGCTCTCTTGCTGTTTATACCTGACACAGTTTCGCAGCGTCGTAATGAGTCGTGTCGGATCTGCAAGGCGTTAAGGTTATCTAATCTTTGGCGGTTATTCTCCATCATCCCTTCACAACTGACACTTAGCTAATCGAAATGCAACAATTTGCAACGCGAGACATTTGTCGGCATTGTCTCTCTGTTAGCCAATCTTTCTGCTAAAAGTACGTCTCATGAACACGTTAGTGCGGGACACGACCGCCCAAACAACCATGCCCGCGTACTTTGCAGCTGGCCTCCAAACCTATGACGATATCGGACTTACTGTCAGTTCTTCTCAACTTTCGTCCATCGGGAACATTACAATCAGAGGGTCCTGCGACCATTTGCTACAAGTCTTGTTTGCAAACAGTTGAGAATTGACCGTGGCAGTTGCTAGCGCGCCCGACTTCGATCCGGACGGAGCCTCGACGAACGACGTACGAACTCCGAAGATCCGAAACGTAACCATCGCGACGTGGAGTCATGGAAACTCAAACATTATCGATTCACTATCTAGCGCTCTTCGCCGACCGCTGCTTCTTTACAGTATTGAGATGGCCCTGCTGGAATTGCAGAGTGATTTGCATCGCAATATGTCCCAGGGAAAGGGTTGCCGAGAATTCTTGATGGCATAGTGACAGGCTCTCCCAATCTTGAACATTGCTCCAGCACATTCGGTGCTTAGGTAATGCGATCGGATTGATGCTTGCCAGCGCCGCAAGATGCATCGGCCCACGAGAGTCAGAGAAGCAAGAGATAAGCAATAGTCGAGAGGGCTAGCGTTTGCTAACTTCAAACTTGAACTCGAAAGCCGCCGGATTTGCCTTACGCACTACTACTAGTTCGATCTGAACTTTGAGTTCGTGATGTGCATTGATGGGATGAACTGATTGCAACTACTGGACCAGAGAGACTCCTCCAACAACGATTTGTCGAGACAATTCAGGAGACGCTTGTTGACACGAATAACTTGGATCGACTTCAATTCTACTTGTCTAGACCTCAGATAACGCACACACAGATAACCGATCTCCCATGCTGAAGAAGCCTTTGCGGTAGTTTACCGCCTGTTGCAGATATCTGGCTTGATTCAGCAAAGAAATCTCGTTACCTTCGAAAGATCCTTCGACCGTCCACTCCTTCCATAGTCAAGTGTGTACCCTATCCTGCTACATAATCTCATGGAGGTAGAATTGTCATGGCTTGCCTCCGACTTGTATGTGTTGAAGGTGCCTGAGTAATAAGTTTAAGTGTCCTGCCCCTTCCTCTATCTTGGTCAAGACATCCTTTACCGCTGGACTCCACGTTTTGTTGCGGTCTTTTCTGCAGATGACATTGACCTTGATGACGTTGGAAAGCTTTTCCGTGTCTGCGTCGAATAGAAGGCGCTTCTCGAAAAAGCCTTGAAAATCTTTGAACAGAGTCTCTGCGATGCGGCGCGCAATATGGGTTGGCCAGGGCACTGGATATGGATCGCGCCGCCGAAGTGTCAGAACTGGAAGCCTCCAGAAGCTGTAGCCGCACGGCAAGCACAGAGCTTCGAGAAGCATCGACTCTGATAGAAGTTCGCCGATTCTGGCTGTCAATTCTCGGTATGGGTCGCGGAAGGGAGCCATCAGGAACGAGGGGCTTGGGTCGTATATATGCAACGGATCCAACCATGATGTTATAGAGGCTTGTCCGTAGCAGCAGTCCCCCTCAATCATAAGGCTCCGCAAGACGGTTCGGTTTGCGGGTCCAATCGTTTCGAGCCATAGTATCAGTGTCGGAACATCCTCAAATCCAAAGGCGTTGCTGTTGTACAACATGAACGACGTCTCGTGACGAATCTTTTTGCAAGTCTGAAAGAGCTCGGCAACGGGATGCGTGTCTCGGCTCGCTAGTCTACAGTTTCGATGGTGAAGGATGGCGAGCTTTCTTCCACTGGTACATCCTTCCTTGTGAGGGATTCTGGTGATTGAGATAGCATCGCAGCAGATAAGAGCAAATTCATAGACCTTGTTGCGAAGCTCAGAGGGCAAGTCCCTGCAGGGCAAAGTCAGTCGTTGACGTCTGATGACCAAGCTTTTTAGGACGCATACAAAAACCGAAATGGTTTGAAGTAACGTGCTGTATTCTGGGATTGCTAGACGACTATTAACTTGGGGACCACACACTTCGCCGTTGTGGCTTCTGAATTTTGTGCGAAGAGGGCCGTACCTTGCGAAGCTTCTTGACTCCCCGAAGTCTAGCCTTCGTTTTGCGCGAGGTTTTGCAGCTCATGGGTGAAGATATTGCCTACAAACCAATGGGTCAGGGGATGTAAAGCGGACGTTCAAATGTTGTCGGGCTCCCGTTTCATCTGACTTACCTAGCTCAGGTAGGCGTCGGTCTTTGCAGAATTTGTCTTCCAGTCATTAATTGATGCCTGCGTGGTGTTTCAAGAGGGAAAGCTTTTCTTCTACAAGCGGCGAGAAAAAGATTTTCTATTTCGCGCGCGCACCATTGCGAGTGTGTGGCTGTTGTCACCCGCGCGGTCGTCCAACCGCATGGGACTACCTGCATCCTACCACTGGCAAAAAGCATCAAGAACTAAAGATTCGAGACAGATCTCGGCTCTTACCATAGGAAGCCTTCGAAACCCCTTGACTCTTTACCAGCCTCAGGTATAGAAATGCATGGAATATTACGAAATTCGAGGTCGCGTTCTGTTCAAGCAGGCAAACTCTCTGGCGGCGTTCCCCGCTACGACACAGTCCTTGACATTCCACTTTCCGACTATAGAGTAGCGAGGGCAGGTAGTAGGTTGGCTCAGACGACTTGATGAGTCGGACCATCTTTAGCAACACATCCAGTCAAATCCATCAAGGTCATAAGGTAGGTAGATTCCGAAGAAGACGGAGAGTTTGAGACACTTGATAACTGCAGATTAAAGTTCTATTCAAAATACACATGAAACGCCCCAAGCAAACCGTCTTGTTAAACCACGGTATTGTTGGTTCTTCGTGACGGCCTGAACTATCTGTGGCTTCACCGAGTGTCACCTGACCAAAGCTGGTCGCTCCGATGCTCATCGAGGTCAGCCAATCGAGGGCCTAGCTCTTTCGACGATGTGCCAGGGCTACCAGCATACCTGTCTCCGACCTCTTTCAATTAAACTCCGGCTCTATTTCAATCTTGATGAGTACATTGTGACCACCTCAAGTGATGGACCTTTCGTGGGGTCAATACATCGGCCGAGTCGTTGAAGCTTCTTTTGGCGACGACGGAGATTCTTCTTCCGACTTCTCTCGAGCAGCAGCTCCAGATGCTCAGAGAATGAGGCGTCTGCTTCGTCCGCCATCTCTTTTGTCCAATTCGATCGATGAAAATCAGCCTTTTGCCCGCAGAGCCAATAAGCATGCATGTCAAGCGCCAACAAGGAAGATAACCGCTGAGGATCCCCATTGCGGAAGGAAGGACTACACAGGAGGGGGCGGAAGAATGAGAACACCCATTCAGCTATGTGCCGGGCTTCAGTGACCAGCAGCTTTGGCTGTCCATCTCTGTGAAGCTTGAGCCGCTTGCTGAAGTCGATCACGCCGTCGAATCTAATAACGACCACCTCGATTTTCTTGAGATTCGGAGAGTTATCAAGCATTGCAGCGATCCGACTCATTACCATATTGTGGGTAACCGTGTCTGGACAAGTGCGCAGTTCATATAAGATAATCCCGCAGAGATGCGATCTGTTGTACGGGCCAATGTCGCGTAGCCAGACGAAAAGCGCGTCTTCATCCCAAAATTCGAATGTTCGGTAGTAGGCGATGCCACGTGCTTCAGACAACACTTTTTTGCAAGTACGAAGCATCGATAAGCTAAAACGGCACCTAAGATAGCATTGTCCGAGACCTTTCCTTCGAAACGGAAATCGTTTCGAGGGTATATCGGTAGAGACAAGACTGTCAATGATATAAATCGGATCTGGGGGGGATAGAACAAGTGTGTAGATGCTGTTTCGAATCTCCCCAGGCAGGTATCTGTTGTGCTTCAGTATTAGCGATATTGGCAACCAATTACACAAAAGCCCGAGCTGTAGAACTCACAGAAAGGAAAAGCGTCTCGGCCCAGAACCGTTATCATGCGCATTCTATCTGGCATGTCAGTCAAGATCGGCAATCGTTTAATTTCATACACAGGAAAGAACTCAGACAGACCCTGTCCGGCAAGGTGTTTGAACCCTGGCTGTCCCGTCGTTGGATCCCACCGGTCGAGATTGAGACGACCGGCAACGAGGCCATATCGGCGAGAGTTGAGGAGATGAAATGCAGTCCTTGTCTCTGGATGTTAGTTTAGAAAGTCAGCTGATATTCAACGTGAAATCATTGGTAACCAGTTACTAACTTGGACGGCTTGATGCTTGTAGTGCTGCGTCGAACTGAAGGCCGTAGATGGCAAATTTCTGCTGAGTAGTAATGAATTGCCGCTTTGATATAAATGAAAAGTCCATATCTATTAATTTGCTGCCTGAAAGGTACTTGAGACTGAAGAAAGTTCTCCTTGCTGCTTTTTCTTCCTTATGGCGACCTTGCATCGTGCTTCACCTGGGCGCGCGTTCGAGCTGCAAGACAAAGATTTGATTGTGAAAGGAGAGACGCCGAAACGGCTTCATCGATGACGTTGTTTTAAATGGAAAAGAAGTGAGTGAGACTGTATCATTTCAAGCTGCAGACCGTAATGAAAATACTCGGTATCATTCAAGACGACTTCGGAACAGATAAAGCCATCATGACTCTAGTCACCTAGTCTTATCTTTCAATTGTAGCACCACCTCTGCTTCCTACATGCCATTGGCTTCTTTTAGGCCAGCCTAGGTCGGATTTCAAGTGCGGCGACTTGCTGCTTGGTAATTATGAATCTTCTTCAAGCTCGATATCCCAGGCGAGTTTCGAGGTTTCTCCTCAGCAGCAGCCTTAGATGTTCTATAACCTCCTCTTCAGCTTCTCTTGCCTCTTTGGCATTAAGTTTCTGCGGACTCGATGCGTGCCGATAATACCACCAGTTATTCCGGCTAACTTGTAAAATATGACACAGCCTTTCCGGACTGTGGCCACGGGACAGACCTTTGGAGTACACCGACCGAAAATCATGGTAAAATACCTCCGCAACCCGACGCGCGATGCCGATCCAGCCAGAAACAGGTCCAGGTCGCTTGAAAGTTCCCCTCGGAGCCGGGCCAGCAATCATACATGTAAGATTGTAAAAATACTGCATCCGCAGAGTCTGGAGATTTTCGGCAGTAGCTAGCATCCTCGCAGCCCTACGACACAGTTCTCGATAACGGGTCTGCTGAGTCCGGTATCTGCTTGGAGTTGATGACGGCAACCATCCCTGAGGCTCGGTCTGGAGTACAATGGTTCGTAGGCAGGCAGTATTGGTCCCCAAGTCTTTCAACCAAACGACGAGTGTCTCCATATCTTGCACGTCGAAGTAGTTGGTGTACAGAATCGCCCGCGCTTCGGCATGAACTTGCTTGCAGGCTCTGAGAAAGGCAACCGGCAAGTACTCGGTTGTTCTCCATGAATCGTGATGTCGCACATTCTTGCGCCTCCAGCGGAATCTAGAACGGCCACAGGTATAGCCATACACCACCTTAGCGGTGATCGTGACGGTCGAACGGATGAAAGCGATCCGGTATATCTCGTTCCGTAATTCGGGCGGAAGCCGGCTTTTGTTTACAACGATGTTAGCGTGATTCTCGAGTTCACAGATGTTGGGATGAAATCTGGGCTCACAACAACGGAGACTCCTCTTTCCTAGGCTCTTCAGTTCTGAGTCTCTGTGTTCGCTGTCAGTTCAAGTCTGATACAGCCGTGTTTGAGTGAACGAAGACCCATCACCTTGGGGGTTGGCTGCTGGGGAGAACCAGGAGAAGATTCGGGACGTTCTCGCTTGTTGGACCGACTCTGGGAGTGATCAGATGACCGTTCGGCTTCTCTCGATTCTGCGAGATAATCAGGCATGCTAAGACCATCAGTTCTCTATCGTAAAGTCTCATAGAGACAAACCTACTTCAGAGACATAGCAGCTGATATTCAAGAGGACCCTGGTCTAGGCTGCATGATCATTGTATTTGTCCGCTAACAGAGCCGTGTTGACAATTCCAAAATCAAATGTGGCAGGCCTAGGGTCGATTGACTGTGAGATGACTCGATGAGACACATAAAAAAAAGGTTCGAACGAGGATCGGTGTCTCAAATGCGATTCCATGGATCTATAGACTAGTGGGAGATTGCTCCAACTGAAAGCAATCGCGAGACATTTCTACCGACTGCTAGACATGAAGGACATCTCAAAGTCAATCTACAGTTCCCTCGTGGCAGGGGCCGTGGTATGAACTCTTTCAACTCTGCCTTTGAAGAGTTGATCCACAAAGCCAAGTCTGAAAAGTTTTTGAAAATTCATCCGTGAAAAGACGGTGGTGAGCACAGCTGAAGAAATCCGGTCTTGAACAACGACAACAAGAGTCTAGAGTTGGGTCTTGGCTTTTGGACTTCGTCCTTCTGCGTTCTAAGAGCTCAGCAATGGGTCCGATAGCTTGAGCTACACATATACTTTTTAAAGGTTTTGAGAAGAACCAGTAATAACAAACGAAACCCCCAGAAAAGCGCACAAAATGAATCTCTGTACATGTATTTTCCATCTCGAATAGATGGGCTTTTTAAACTCGGGAACAATCCGGAAGGTCCCAGATCCTCTCTCTGAAGGGATGAATGAGAACTCTTACCCATCAAATGGTCTCCACAATCGCCTAATTACGAGGACATGTGGGCGGCGATCGATCTGAGGTCCTAATTCGCCGTGCAAATGCTCTACTGTTAAGACGATTCTGTTGAACTATCTTGAACCTCAAGGTCTAGAATTCTTCTTGGACTCGGGGAATCAGCCGGTATCAAGCTTCACGGCGTTGTAAGACTTTGCAAATGCTGCGGGGGTAGTCCGAACGGCCTGGCCCGTCTCACTTTCTGCGGTGGGTTCTGCAGCGGGCACTTCTATCTTGAAGGCGCCCGCAATAGGCCCACCCGAATCCATATTTTAGGGAATGATTCGCGGTACCCAGTTCAACCAAGTGCCCTCAAGACTCTGTCAAGTCTTATTTATGTGACCAGACTTGACTCTTTAAACTTTTGTCGGTGCTTTCTAAGGCTCTCGAATCATCTTGGGGCTTATAATCCGGCCCGTCGTTTCCGCTGTATTATCTTCCCATCTCCCTTCTCAGGTGTACAAGTACATATCGGAATCACACCGAAAGTCCTGTCAGCCGGCGATCTTTCCAACAGGCCAGCGAGTCAGCCAGTCTATGAGACTTCTGACAGCCCTCAACTCACATGTGAGCCTCTCAGCGCAGGGCATCGCTGCTTTACTCGGGCATATCCCCACATGGATTTGCGTGTGATAAGTTCCCCGGGTGGTCCACGTAGTAAAGAGCTGTCAGCTGTTTGGTCGGAAATGCGGGAATGGCATCCTTCAAGGGCTGAGAGCTTGGCAATTGCCATGTTCGGCGATATTGAACGAGATGATGTGTCGCATACTGTCAAAGTGACAAGCCAGCCGCATTTCAAATTCTCCACGCACGCCAACAAAGGTCACCGGGTCATATCTGTCGAAAATTAAGAAACCGTCCTTGTCTTTTGCGCCATGCCGACAATATCCTCCTCAGCCTTGCGCTTGCCGTGACTTTGCTGCCCTGGAATCTCCACCGCATGATGACCCTCACCGAATCTTTCTAATGTCAAAGGGGGGTATTCCAATACGGCCACGTGTTGCTCCTCTTGACAACCTTCCACGTCGCCGACGCGTTGGCAACAGCTCCACCTGAAGCCTTCTGGAACATCAGCTCGATATTCTTCGCTGTCCATTTCGCAGAACTGTCCAATGTCGTCGATCGTGTCCCAGACCTCTAGGTCTTCGTCTAATTCAAAGTCTCCTATCGCACGTCAGCGTAATGTCCTCTCTTTACTCGCCAAGCACGTGCAGTCACACGAAGCTTTACATTCCCCGCTCATTCCGAATACGGTATTGACTGTGGAATTCCATCATACTGACCAGGGTGGTAACGACATGCATCAGGAGCGTTCCTGTTGACATCAAACTTCTCCTTACAGTTGGCGCAGACATCCGTCCTTGGCATCTTCTGCAACAGGTCAACGGCTCGCCGGCGGACCCGCTCATCCTCCCTGCAAAGTGCGAACAAGACTTTTCGGGCATCGGTGCCCGAAACGGCTTCCAACATGGCCGCCGTTTCCCGATTTGGGGCGGCGGTCTGTTCGGCTCGCTGTCTTGCTTGATCAACCATTGATTTCTTGGTTGCCGTTGGCGTGTCGCGCCGATAATTTGGTGTTTTCTTCGGGCCGGGAAAGAAGTGTTTTGCGATGTCGGACTTTAACGGGGGTAAATTGGTGTTTAGCTTGGTACTTTACTTCGTACACCAATCTCTTGGGCCCAGTAGATAAGTAGAGTAAAGTAGTTGGAATTGGTAGTCGAGCTTATCCGAGTAAGCGCGGAGGAAATGTGAGATCTGAAATGTGAGTACCTTAATCAAATTCCAAGCAACTTGCTCGACGTTATAGATGGTCCGCAAGCTTTACCTTTCGTGGACATTCGAGGGGCTTCTACGTTAGCAACTAACTGCGTACACTCTAGAAGTGCCATCTAGACCGCGCCCACTTAGTGTACTCCGTGGAGTCCCACAACTACTCACCCCAACCCGGAATGACGGGGATGCAAACCAGTTTCCGAAAGGGTTCACCAGGGTCACTTCTCTCCTTTCAGGAATCATGTTCATTCTTGTCTATCAGAATTGAACGGCCGGGGGGTTTCACTCAACTGCCACAGACACCCGTTTCTTTTACCCGTACCCGTCTTCCCCCCGTGCCCCCCTCCCCGGCCTCCCGTAGATCAGGGTTTGCCGGGGAATCTCGGATGGTAAGGGTCATCCCTGCTCGCCAGGTGGCCTCATTGGATTCCTCGCACACAAAGCCCTGCTGTGGCACCGCAAGCTTACGGCTCTTCAGTCTCTAGAGTCCAGAGTACAGGGCATTTACCCATGGCCCCAGAGACGGTCCAGCGGCTGGCTAGCTGACGAAAGGCAAGTAGCCTGTAGGTGGTGCGTCTTGTGTTCCCTAAGAGCCACACACACTCTCTCGACCCTCTCTGGAGTTTGGTCCGGGTTTGGGGGGACATAATTCCTGTGCGACCACCGGGAGCGAGCCTACTGGTTCATTCGGTCTGGCGTGTGTACTCCGTACTTGCGTTGCTGGCTGGCAAGCTTTATATTCCCTGGAGCGGGATTGCTAAGCCGCTTCTGGTGTCCCTTGCAGATTTGAGCGCTTGCTGCAGATGATATCGGACCGCTCTGGGCAGGACGCTTCCGGTTCGTCTCACCACCCCATCGTTGTCGTCGTCGGCGAACCATGCGAATTCCGCCACCGCCAGTCCCATGAGGCGAAAATGCGAGCCATCTCGATCCTGGGAATGCTGCCTTCATTGGGCTGCGCGCTGTTTTTCTCACCTCATCAATGATCAGTACATGTCACGGATGATTTTGTAATTTGGCTCGTGAAAACGAGAAGTAAGGTAAATTGCATCGCTGGCAAACTTGGGCTCGCCCCGTTCGTCTGTCTAAATCGACGTTCTCTGCGTGCAGTGGGCTATCTTCACCCCGTTCTTTTTGCTGCCGCCTTTCTTCCCCTAGTGGCCCTCGATTCATTGATTCTTCCACCACTGAAATACAAATGATATGCTCTTACGTTCTGCCTCCATTATTTCGTGATGTCTTTGATGTACGAGGATACCCTCATGCGAGGCAATGAGATGCCAGCCTGGCCAATAAGTCAGGCACAAAGTGGTCGGTTGGGCGTAAAAGCTGCCCCCAAAGTACAGTAGTGTCGCCCCCTCCAATTTCTTGTCCAACCAATTTCAATGTTGCTTGCTCGCTTCATCCATCAAATGTCTTGTTGTATCAAACTTGCCAAATGCTATGCCTCCCCCTTCTCCCAGGAAAATGCTTTGCTTTGCTTCGCTCCGCTCTGCTCCGGTTTTTTTGAACTTGTGCCTGATTGCCGCTTTGACTCCCTTCGCGTCTGTTCACAGCCCTGCCAGCACCTTAAAAAAATCCATTTCAATCTCGCGTGGCCTTGTCGACCGGTTGACCGACCACCATCGGTCGGGAGGCCGGGAGCCCATCCGATTGACCGAAACCGTAATCATTTCCTTGACCGGTCTACCAAAACCAGTCTCGTCCGGAAGGCCGAAAGGAGGGGAACCCAGGAAGCGAGTTCGTTTCTGACATGGACCATAAACACGTCCTTAAAATAATAAACAATCCAAGTAAACCTTTTTCGAACGTCATTGCTGTTGGTGGTGATGGTGCGTTGTCGTCAGCGAGGTTGCCGTTCTCACAGTCATCGTTGCCGTCGTCGCCTTGTGGCCAGCGTCCGTCGGTGAGCTCGAGATCGTGTAGTGCTGCTGATGCGGCGGCGGTCCCAACTCCTGCGATGAGGCGTCGTCAAGCTCCAGCGGATCGTCTTCGAGATCGGACAGCTCGTTGCCGCGGCCCTTTTTGCTCCTATCCGGGTTGGCTTCGTGTGTGCCGCGCACGCAGCCTTGCCTGTCGCCTAGCCTCTGGCAGCAGCACCATCGGAACGCTGCGGGATACTCTAGGCGATTGGAATCTGTGTCCAGCTCGTCTGACGATACGTCGTCCCAGATTGTTGGTGGTATTTGCGTCTCATCCCAAAGCTCCAGCTCGCCTAAACAGAGGGGTGGGTGCACGAGTCAGTATGACCCTTCAACCACGAGAATAAGATACCCTTCTGACAGCTTGTACAGCGTAGTACTTCTGCTGGGAAAAGAAGATGCACGGCATGGAAATGAGGCAACAATAGAGTTGGAAGGAGATGAAGAGGCTCTACCAGTCTCTCGTTGCTTCTGCTCCCGCTGCTGTCGCTGGGTTTCCACGCTCTGCTTGCTTGCTTGCTTACCTGAGTGGTACCAACATGAACCAAAGCTGTTCTCGTCGGCCGTGAAGATGCCGTCGCACTGAACACAGATCTTGGGCTCGCCGGTTGCCTTTCTCTTTTTTGGATTTGATGGACTTGAGACGGAATTGGGGCTCCTCTTGACACCATCCTCCTCCTCTTCCTCGCGGACATCGGCCTCAAAGCGCAGCAGCCGCTCAAGCTGCCTCAACGCCTGGGCTCGAACCCGTCGGTCATCGCAGAGAGCCACGAGGATGGCGCGAGCGACGGACGCTGGCGCCTGGGCGAGGCCGTCGAGGTCCGGGGCGGCAGCGGCGGCGGCGAAGAAGGAGGACGACGGCGAGTCAACGGGCGACGATGCGAAAGCCATTGCCGGGATGATAGCGGACGGCGTACGGACGGACGGGGACCGTGAACGACGGGGAGACGACGCCGTTTGGGTCGATGGTTTAAGAAAAAGGTTCATTGAGGCTCTCTACGGCCTCGGAAGGGGGGGGTATTTCTGGGTTCTGGGTTCTGTTGCCGGAAGCCCTTCCCCGGATGTGTCAGCTCACGGATGCATTAGCAACAAAGTGAGTCTTCAAGGGGGTGGTGGGTAGGTTGATTGGAGGTCGGTCGTGTCCGAGGAGAGAAGGGGGAATGAATGGGACGGGGGATGCGGGTGCGGTGGCCGGGCCTGCAGGTCAGGTTATTGACGGCAAGGCGAAGGCCAAGGTGTATGGATGGATGTATCCGTAGAGGCGTACGTGGACGAGTTGCCAGTCGATCCGTCGTACCACCGGGCAGCAAAAGCAGCAAAAGAAGGGGACTAGAAGGGGGCAAGCGAGAGAGTGAGAGAGAAACACGAGACGCACAGAAGAGAGCAAGAGAGAGCTCAGAGATAGGTACGGATGGAGAAGAGTGGGACGGGGGAGTAGGAAGTAAGAGATGCGGCCCTTCTGCCGGCCGGCCGGTCCTGTCGGTCCAACTCTACTTTAGCTTGTTGGGATCTGCTTTGCTGGGAAGTATGTCAAGACCAACAAGGGCCCAGGTGCTGGACCATGGATGCGTATGGTATGGATTATGGATATGGCTGGCTGAGGGGAGGTGATGAGATGGAGGGGAGGGGCCCGGCCGGGGGATAGAATCACATAGCTCCAGCAATCCCATGGTTGTAGCATGTGCATTGCCGGGAGACGGAGACGGAGGACCCTCCCACTCCTCTCACACTCCATGTCGACACTTGTCGAGAGGGTGGTGTGGGTGAGAGCAGTCCATGACCTCAGAGACGAAGAGAGCAGAATGCCGCCAGCGGCGACTTGCGGGGTCAGAGGCTAGAAGCATTAGGGTGTGTATTCGACATCCAGGGCTGTTCCGCTGCAAGATGCCCGTTTGAGCGATGAGGAAGGGATCCAGGGGCCGGCTCGTGACCATTCACCAACTTCTGTCATATTTTCGAGGCGATACTTCCAGGCCTAGCCGTTCCTTGGATCATAAAGTATGTGGTGGCCGCCGCCGAACCATGCCATGCGATGCCGTGCCATACTTTTTCGTTATTTTGCCCATACGGGCCCCCATGCCAAACGGTTCCATGCTCCATACTATGGCCGGCCAGACCAGACGGGACGCGAATTCGACCTAACCAAACCAAAGCAGAACCGGAACCAGGGGGGGAAAGGACGGGGCATATGATCTGGTGCTATGTATGCAGTGCCATGTCTCGCAAATTGGCTTGACTCTGGCTGCGAGTGGTGGTGACTTTGCCAGCAAATCACGGCTCTCGGAGTGCCACGACAACAGAACATTTGAACCCTTCAACTATTCTTCTTCCCACCCCGCCAGGCTTGCCGCTTTGCAGGGGCCTGTCGAGCCTGTTGAGAAAAAGGTAAAACCAGAACGGGAGATTTGGCCGTGTGGCCTTCTGGGGACCAAGGTGATATCTGGTATTCCCGTCTCCGTGCCCCGTCCCACGGTCCTGCTGCTACCAATCCCGAACTGGGAACTAGAGGAGATCAGTGGATGCACGATGTGCATGGCGTCATGTACGACTGTATAGATGCAGGCACCGATGTCTGCCGCGGCGTTGGTGTCGCAAGGGAACTGGGAACTGGGGGTGAGAGGGGCGCAAGACTCAATCAAGAGAGAAAGAGACGGCGGGAAACTTTAGGAAACAAGACAAGATTACCTACTGTTAGGGCTGCCCGTTTTGGTTTGGATGGGTAATATTAAATGGGGGTTAAAGCGTGAATCGAATTTTGGGTGCGGCAAGCGCGCGTAGCGACAGAAAATCCAAACTTGGCCTCAGCTTCTCGACAGGGACCATCGGGAACCAAGAATGGACCTGGACTGGACGATTCATGTGTGGACGGTCGGCGGCCGGGGGGTGTGAGCAGACAGGCTCGGCGAGCACACACACCAACTTTCAGTCTCTCAGTTTCGCATTCTCTGTTTCCCTCTCTTCCTCTCAGCTCTTTTTATTACGGATAGGTATACATAGTAACACACACACACACTAGACTAAGAGACTTTGTACTCACATTACACTAGTCGGGCAATAATGCCAACGGCCGTCGATGACACTAACATCGGATCGTATCAGCATCGCCAAACCTATGGGGGGGAGGGGGCCGTTCTGCAGTCCGAGCCGCCCCCAAGTGCCCCCTTTTATCCCATCAAGAGACACCAGACGGGAGAGAAGCAAAAACGAACCCGCACCGGCGCCAACACCAAACGGTTCGACGCCATTCCCAGTTGCGCCAAAAGGTCCGGCCGGCTGGAGCGGGCTCTCTACCCCGAGATCTGGTAATGTATGCGCCGCACACACACGGAACCACCACAAACAAGCAAGCAAGCAAGCAGTTGATTAAAAGAGCGCACCCAGCAGGGGACGGCGGCGACGGCGGCGGCGGCTCGCTGCCCACCTGCGGCCCGATCCTGTCTTGGCTTTGTCCTTTAAAATCCAGCTTTGGTCCCTTTGCTTTTTCATTTTCCCCTTATTGGTATGGTCTTTTTGGGGGGGACGGTATTTTGCGACGAAGCTGCGATTCGTCAAGGACCGAGGCGAGGACCATCCTCCCGTCCACCAAGCGTCTGCTTCACGCCCCGAAAGAGAGAATCGACAAAGAAGAAAAGATGGTCCAGCCACACCGAGCTGGCCGGCGACACTCGGTGAAGTGAGCCCACCTATCGATTCTCCAATCTCATCCCGGACGCCTTGTGCATCCATTGGTTGTTTTTTCTTGTCTCTTACTGCCCCCCAACCTGTCTCAAGTTAAGATGCGGGAAGGACCACACACCACACACCATCGTTGGAGTCTTGCTGTTCGGTTAGACGGGAAGCATTGACAGGGAGTCCGCCTCGTCGGACTGGAGACAAGAGTAAGGAACCAGAAAATCGGACGACCGGGCTTGAAGATGCGTCGCGGGATGTCTGATGTCTTCAATTCAGCTGGACTGGGAACCCAAGTCGACACTTGCGCGGCTTTTGATTGCTCGCTTGCTCTATCGCCCGACTGTGGTTGATGTGGTCGACACACGGCACGTCTAACCGGAATGTCGGACATGGTGATGATTGCTGACGGGCGTTTTGCCGTTATGCTAGAGCCTGGACCTTGTTCCAGTCTCGCGGAGGAATGCCCAGAGAAGGCATCGTCTGTTGAAGATGACGCCGTGAGACTCAAGAAAAGGGTCGTAGTGATATTCAGGCTGGATATCAATGACACCACAACGAAGAGGACGGAAGAATGTGTTGCGAGGTGGGAATGTAGAAAGGTAAGCTGACATGGACGTGCCGGTAGTTGACTTTGGCTCTAGGGCACGGACTCGGAGGAATTCTCTTTCTCACATTTCCATCCGCCTGGCTTTTCCCCATTTCAAGATCTGCATGGTAGTTGGTCTCCCTTTTCGGTGCTCGCTCGGCAAGTTGAGGTCTGAAGGGTGCCATTGAGGTGTTGGGGCAAGTCGAAATTCGGTAAGCGGCTCTTCTTCTCTGACGGTTTCGTCCGACCTATGGTCTAAGGTAGTATCGAGTCTACAGACCGGACAACATCTTCTCTCCTCGCTTCGTCTTCTCGACCAGCCGGTCTCTAGATGCATCACCTCACTTTGCCTGCATTCTATTGGAACCGGCGAGCAGCAACAACACCACGCCATCACACATATTTCCTCCAACCCTGCATGGTCAGTTATCAGAAAACCCAACATACAGAGGCCGCCGACGATGCTGCCACTGACGTTTGACGTTCACTTCTGCACCGGGCCCCCGATGTCTTGGTTTACAAGCAGGCCGGCCGTGTCTCGGACCCATCAAACCTAGGGAGACTGAAAACCTCCACTGCAAGTCTGGTCTCGTCTGCGGTTGCGCGGGTGCGGTACAGTCGGTACGGTACTACGACCGCATGCCGCACTGCATTGCAGACCTACTCACACCACATACCTACACTATCACACACGCTTCAGAGACTCATAGTGGACAAGTAGTTGTGTAGATATTCACGTCAGCTTCCGCTACTTGCGCATGTCTCACCAATGCTTTCCCATTCAAGCGGTTCACCGTCCCGCCCAGCCGTTTTTTCATTCGTCTGTCGCTCGACTTGGAGCATGTCTTGGGCCTTTATGTTTCTTGTAGCTTGCCAGCCGCATCCTTCACCGCCTCATTTATCGAATCTGCGGAATTGGCCGCTTATTCATGGCGGCGATGAGGCGTTTCCTTCCCGCCAGCAGACGCGAGAGCGAAGTTTACTGGTGGTCAAGCCACGCTGCCGACGGGATGAGTTCCCCCAAAGTATGATCTGATGCAGCGATGCTCGCCTTGCCAATCTCAACCCATCGGGCCATCGAATCATATTCCTGGGATTTGATCCCCGGTTACACAAAGTTGAAGCTCCAGAGTTCACGCCAAGCCTCATGTCACCCTGCCGCAAATTAGAGAACGAAACAAATCCCATCCTCAAAGGCATCCCGCTCTCCTCACGGTCACAACAGCCTAGCCTTGAACATTGACGTCGAAAGGCCCTTCAAAAGAGCATCAGGCCACCTCAAAAGCCACAATATCCCAAAACTTCCAAAATTCAAGGTCCTCCGGATACCTGGAATCAGAATGTCTCAAGCCAGTGAAGCCACAACGTCCTGTTCAGGGGTTCCCTAGCGGAGTGACAGTGATGACCCAGTCCGTATTGGTTTTAGACTTTCCAGCTAACCACATATCGCACGTCATGTCCGCCCAGAGACACCACCCCCAGTGCGACCCCCTCGAAGAACAAACTCCACAGGTTCGTCTCCCTCCGCTCGGGTCGTCCCCGTCCCGAAGGGAGCCCCGAAGGGAGGGCGAGTTCGACCCAGTCTACTCCAGTCCATCCTCTCGTGGACTCGTAGCATGTCGAACCAGAGTTTCTCCCTAGATGTGATTCCTCAAGAGTCTCAATTTCATCCGACGACCGGACATAAGCACGATTACCAACCCTCTTTCGACCCCGGGGAGCCCACGGCAGTGTGGTAGTCTCGACGGCACAATGGCACCAAACACGGCGCGCCTCACAATCTTCGTCTTCGGCCTCTCCTCCTTCGCAGCGGGAGTCCACTCCCTCCTCCGTCCCCACGACTCCCTCAAGGCGCTAGACCTCCCCGCCGCCGCTCTCCCCGCAGCCAACGGCAACGCTCTGGCCGCCATTGCGATGGGCATCTACTACACCCTGACAGCCGCCCAAGACAACCGCGCCTTCTTCCTCGCCACCATCCCAATGCGCTTGACGTCCGCCTTCGTGTTCTGGCGACAGGACTGGGGTATCGTTTCCGGTTGGGAGGGTGGGAGCGCGGCATTGACGCTGCTTGCCTTGGCTTGGGATGCTCGGCAACGAACCAAGACTCATGAGGCTTGAGAGGCTGGGCACCCATCTGTCGCCTGACGGATATGCGGAACATGCCGGGAGATCGAGAATGGGTGGTTCAGTCTTCTGTTCTAGATCTGAATTGATGTGCACTTTTGACTGAGATGATGTCTTTCGATGTGAGATTTAATCTCGAGTTCCCATTCACGGCCAGTGGGGGAGGAAGACAGCCTGACTTGTGCAGTGTGACTTTGGAGGATTGAAGATCATCACTCGAGGCCAATAGCAGATTGAGTAGCAAAGACATGAGGCGAACCAGTCTTACATCCTGACCCAGTCGTTTCCTCGAGACTTCACGGGCGGTAATCGACAAGATTTCAAATAGTAACAACTCATCCATTTTCTTCATCCGACTATGAGATGACATTCTCATTACACTTCACGAGGCGGCGCGACGTGAATCTGCCAGTATTTCGTCGTCTCTTTGGATATTCTCGCCCTCTCTTCGTCCGTCATCGTATCCTTCCCGTACTCCTCATGTGTTACCCCCTCCGACAAGACGCCGTCTCTCGTGCCGTTTTTCAAAAATGTCATAAACTCCATAGTCACCCTCACATACTCCCGTAACCCTTGTCGCACATCAATCGTAGCCTCCGTAGTCCAGCGAAGCAGCAAAGGCTCAATGAGCGGCGCATCGGTAACGCTGGGATGACTCGTCTTCAGACTGGTTAGGAACCAACTGGAGCCAACGCGCTTCAGTACGTCTCTCGCGATATCCCTGACCGTGTCAAAGTGCGGACGGCCGAAGAAGGGTGTGCTCGTCTTGGACCAAGAGTCGGAGTGGACGATGAGGACGGGCACGTCGATATCGGTGTTGAGTCGTCCGCTGCTCTTCCCTGGGTCGAGAGCGATACCTCCCACAGCCGGATTCTCGTCTGATGTTGCCCCTTTGAGAGCCTGTAGCGCCCCCGTTGCGCCAAAGGAATGGCCTGCGATGACTGTCTGGGAGAAATCGAGTCTATTTTCCCAGTCCGCGAGGCCGCGGCCTTCTTTGCGGGCATTGTTTGCGAAGATCTTTGACCCCTTCCCGGCGTGAAGTGACTGCAACACCGCTATCGTCTCTTCAATCTCAGCCTGTCGGAAGGCGAGCTGCTCAAACTTCAAGTCATCAGATTTCATCTCGTTGCCGCCCCTGAGTTCATTCTTGGTGAGGTACATCACCCTGCGGCTCTCGCCGTCCGTAGCTGTAACGACCGAGCCAGGGCCGCTGCCGTCGCGATGCTCGATAGCAGCAACGACAATTCCACGGCTCGCGAGCTCACCGCAGTAGTGCGTATAATCTGCCCGGGAACTGGCCAGACCGTGAGACAACGCCACGACGGGCAATTTCTCATTTCCTTTACTGCTTGTCTGAGGGAGAAGTGGTACATCAACCTGGGCAGGAATCTTGATGCTCCCCACCAGAGCCCATAGTGCGAACGTGAATATCGGTCGCGAAATGAAGTTGTTGAAGTGAGCGGCCCTCGCATAGCCCTCTGCTGTGAGGCTTATGGGTTTCGGTACCCAATAGTGATGGCCTGTTCCCCTGACACCCTTCTCGGCTGGGTAATATAGAGTGAAGAGTACTGTCTCGAGGTTGAACGCCGGCTTGCCGTTGCTGGCGAAAACTGAGTCGCTTGTGTTGCGAGGAGTACGGACGGGAACCTCGATGTCTATTGCCCCAACTTCAAAAGGCCCTGAGTAGTTTGGTAGCCTGGATGCGAGTAGAGGCGACTGGATGAGGATACAGTATAAGTCAACATACCCACTTCCTGGCACCCCCCTGTTTCTGGCACCACAAAAACGATGGGATCACAACCCAACCTCCTCATTACTATTAACTATTGATCCTCAACCACACCCACTACAATACAGCTGCCAGCCTCACTAGGGCATTCAGAGTCGCTGGATTCAGCCGTGATAACCTCCTTTTCACCCGCTT